AGCTGAGCATTTGGCACATTTATTTCAGTTGTTTGGAGGCCTTAGACTGGTAAACAGCTAGATTTTAAGAAAGCAGACACTGGATTAAAGAAATCTCATTATCTGTTAGCATTTCTGATATCAGTGATAGATGATTTCATTGAAGTCAACCTTGAAACTTGGTTTGTATCAGTAGTAGAATGACCAGGGGGGGTTTAAATAATATTTTTTAAAAGACTCAACTCTGAGGGTTGGGCCTCACAGACCAAGACTACAGTTATTTTACAAGATTTTAAGAGCTTTATTATTATTGTCATACTTCAACTCTTTTTAAAACAATGCTTATTTTTAAAAGAAAAGCCCTTAAAATTAAACTGCTCTGTGCAGTTGTTCTACCAGAAAAAGTAGAAATACAAACTTTCTACAACTTGAACTTCTGACGTGGTTTTGGATGCTGACATACTGATGGGAGACACATAACGCACTCTTTCCATCCCATCCATCTTTCACCAAAGGCAGCCTACGGTGAAATCAGCTACTGATATTATGATCAGGTATATCTATCTGTTTAGATGGAAAAAAATGTGTCCTCCCAAACTATTCCAACACCGATCCATCTTACAGACCATCACATCTATTTGCATGTTCCACTTCTCACATTAAGGAGATGGATAGCTCTTAATGGGTTACACGACGTTACACAGTTGGTTCATCGCTGTGTTGCAAAAACACATCTATGTTAAGACCTTCTTGACCAAGCCTTCCGCAGGCTCCTCTTCTGTCAGTTGTAGAGGACACGCAGAGAACACAGGCACTTGCTAGCTGCAAGCCCTTGTTAGTCGCCAATGTGCCAGGCAAGGCAAAGTGCACCTCGCAGCCAACAGGACCGTGGTATTTGAGAAGCTGCAGCTGAAACTGAACCAGGGCATAACACAGAAAAATAATACCGCTCTCAGCAGGGACAGAACCTGCTCCCAGATGTTAAATCTCAGCACCTTACAAGTACAAACACTAAAGGATTTCACTAGATGAGTTCTCAGAATCCATGAGATGGAGAACTTTCCTTAATTTTTATTTTTTTTTTGCTTCCCTCCCGGCCCCAGAACACCTTCCTAACAAGATCAGATTCACAGATCTCACTAAAGAAGATAAACCTATTTCTGATGGACTACCTATTCCATCTTGTCAATCCACGAAAAAAAGTGAGAAGCGAGAAGAGAGTTTGGTAAGAAATTAATGCTTTATACTTCCCATCTGTTCTTCCTTGTGCATGTGGGTCACCGTATTTACACTGTATCTTGAGCACAAATTTTTTCTTGTTTAATTCTAGTTTGACACGTATTTTTCTAGTCATATGCAAATTTAAAATAATTGAGATGCTGCCTTCAAAGAACAACATTAAAATACTCCCAAAAGCAGATGTCAAACATTTGGCAGTTTAACTAACACAGAAGAGAACCTATGGCTGCATATAAATACACAATGTACAGCTGCTGCATAAAGATTTCTTCCTTTTGCCTCCCTCCTCAATAACCGGAATTGGAAATAGATATTTGTAACTGTTTTATTGGAGAAAAATTTGCACTGAGAAACACTCATCATGTAGGAAACACCAAATTAAATGTGCTTCATACAACCACAATTTGTACCGTTGTACCTAAGCATGATGCTGTCAGCCTTCATCACTGAACACGAATTTCTCAAATACTGTTTCTGCTCCACCCTTTTAAAGCTTTCAGATCCTTGATATATGGCACTATGCAGGTACAGAAAAACTGTCATCACCACCACGCCAGCAACAATGTGCTTCCAAAACTTGGTCTAGGGCAAGTCAGCTCTAATAGCTCCAAGACCATCTCCTCCTGTGGGCAACAAAAAAACCTGCACCAATTCTGAACACACCACCAGCACTCAGGAATACTGTGGCACAAGGCCATTTGTAGCCGATTGCTCACCCTTGAGGCCATGGTCAGATCAAGGCCAGCTTCCAGCTGAGAAAGGTGGGAGGCAATCCCCAGGAGCATGCCTGAAGAACAGTCTTTGCTGTGTCCAGGCTCCAGCTAACAGCTGCACTGCTGAGGTGATGCGAATGGGCTGGTGTCCAAAGCATTAGTGTGGGAGCCCTGACAAATTATATCGTGTCCTAAAAACATCGGGGGCATTGCGGGGGAGAAGAAGGGAAGAAGGAAGAGGGGGAAGAGGGGGAAGCTAATGAAGGAGAGCAGGTAATACTTCAGCACCAGCACAAAGAGGGCAGGAATTGCCCTGCAAAGATCAGTCTGAAAACACACCCTAATGTTAGCCTGGAGCTGTCTATGAGGCCATCAGTAAGCTCTTTATTCAACACCTAGCACACTGGCCGTTGGTCTGCAAGGAGCCCACAAAGCTGCACTGAGCCAAATAATAAACCAAATGATTTTATTCATTTCTTTCCTCCTGCCCCCACCCCATCCCACCAGAATACTAGAAACTCAGACCTGACCCATAAATTTCTCTTCACATGCATAACTCCATGGTAACCTTCCTACTGAAGTCGTTGAGACAATTATACATAAGCTGATTTTATTTTTCTTCTTCTAATAAAACAAACAGGGAGGATTTTATTTCAGGAATTCAATCTAAAATAATGCCTTATGAAAGCAAAATACCTTTGTAGGCTAGCATCAGAGACTGCTACAAGGCTCCATGGAAAAACAAGATTTTTTTGTTTGCTGATGCAAATCCAGCAGAACCAAAGAGAACAAAAACGTAGCAATATTTCTGCCCTCCTCGTTCTAAAACACATCAAGGTTTTTGATTTCTAAATAAATGTCTGAAAAAAAGTAAAAACAGAACTTTCTTCCTTACATCATTTTAACATAAATATATTTAGACATTAACTCATGTTACTAGCCCTCTGAAAGTTCACTCCTAGAATTAAATGATTAGGGCATGAAAACAATTGTGTTATTCATAAGCCCAGATAAAAATCTGTAGACTATTGCTAGGTTTCATCTCATTTTTATGACTCCTCTCCCCAAATAAATCAATCACATAAAGTTAAACTCAACATGGGGAGTTAAGCTCTCCACAGAGACTGGAGATTGCAAACATAAGTCAAATAGGAAGAAAGAAAGCTGAGATAATGGATGATTTATCCTGGTTTACTTCAAAGCCCTGGGAGATGGCTGAAAGTGTTAAAATAATATAGAATGAGCACTGATTCCAGAAGAAATAATAGAAGCCTATCTTACCAAACATGGAATTAGAAGTAAAAAAACCCACAACTTCTACAATCATCTCTCTAACTGCACAGAATTTATATTATACTGAGAATCTTCAAAGGATTTGCAGCAAAACCATCAGCCTTAAAACTAGCCTTAAAGTAGCAAGCCCATGGCTGTTCTGATAACTGGCAGTATCAGACGTTCTGTGAAGAGTCTTCCATGACGACAACCACCTTCTCAGCGTAGGACATATGGAATTGGTCACACCACACACTACTAATGGGAGCCACACGTAATAGTGAATGCATACCACTGCATGGTCAGAGATAATTAGAAGCAATTTCCTCACGTTCTCTTTTCCTTGTCCTGGATATGCAAGAATAATTTTCACCCAGATGCTGTTTTAGCATAAAGTATTGTGCTATCCACACATTCAGGCGTTCAGAAAAAATACTAAAGACTGGTCATACACCCAAAGGTCGGGTTTTTGGTTCAGACCTATGTTTTATCCGTTGAAGGTTCAAGTAAGTACCATACTGCTGCTGTACAAACATTTTATAATCTGTTACTTTGATCACAATTAAAAGTGAGATCAATTACTTGATTCACTGCCTGTGCACCCTGCAAGTAACCGGTTTCAGCAAGATTCACAAAACTTGATCAGAGGAGACTCAGGACAGGAATAAGAAAATGCTGGACATCGAAAATGGAATTTATGAACAAAAGATATGGGAAAGCTTAGATAGTGCGTATGTGAAGGTGTGTTGCTCAGTTTTGTATACATGTCAATAACAGAGCATAACCCTGCGGCCCCATCAATGTTTAATAAATTTTTCCTGTTTTTAAAAATTGTTCTATTTCCTTTGTAAAAAAGGCCCACACAACAGGGACACCTGAATGGCTATACAAAAACAACCAAACAATCTCTACAATGTTCTGATCAATTGCATAAGTAAACAAACAGGGAATAAAAACAACTCAGAGTAAATTTATACAGTACTTGTAGTAATGTACCAACTCTCTGACTTGAATTTGATCTTCCTGTTGATCGTGCCCATTTGAAAGAAAAAAACCTGGGTTACAAAGTTATGATCAATTATAAAATACAGGTGTCTCATTTCACAGCCTCTGAATAAGAAGTGTCCTACTGTCTGAAGGTAGCTGCCACGCAAAACATTAAATTGCTGGAAATGTGGCATGAGAGCACACGGCAAAAGAAATGGAAAAAACAGTGAGCTGATGCTTCTTGTCAGGCAGAAGCTGTAATTCAAATGTTTGCTGGGAATCATTACTATCTCCATGCAGAACAAAACAGTAAAAATAATGCGGTCATGTGTCTCTCAAAAATCCACATAGAGTGTTTTTTTGAAGCCTGCAGTTATCTCTTCAGGTTATAGCGTAGCACTGTTCAAGAGAAACAGGTGATTTGGGAGAATTATGAACTAGAACTAGTCAGAAGTTTCCAACTGACCAGGCTGTGACTGGGAAAAGCATTTCAACTAAGTGTAAGAAAGAAGAGAAAGAACAAAGAAAAAAAAAAAAAAAAAAAAAAAGCTTCCATCCAATGATGACAGCATGAGATTTTCTTTTCTGAAAGTTTTTAACTGAATGTGGCAATTCAGAAAGCTGAGCAGAAAAGAATCTGTGCATCTCGATCAGAGCAATAAGAGTAATAATCACTTTAAAAATACAGTCAGAATTCTAGATAATTGTATTATTATTAAACATAATATATATATAGAAATTAGGCATAAATGTAGGCATGTCACTAACATTAAGTGCATGTTTTGTTCTTAAAGATTTCAGACATCTTACCTCATTATTGACTTCAGCAGGTTTTTTCTTTGTTTCACCAATGTCCAAATAGCTGTGGAAAGAAAACAGTATTGATTGTTTACAGAAATGATACAAATATTTCTGCACTTCTTTCATACATGAATTTTTCAAAATTTATCATGCCTCAAAACAACATAAAAAGTAACTAATTCAAGATTTTATGGAAGGAGTGTTAATATAAATCTGCAAGGTAACCCTCTGGGCTAATACAAAAGATGGGGGAGAACCAGCTATCTACCTTCAAGTCACAGGTGATGAGAACAGACCATCAGTAACCCCCTTGTCAGAAAGAATCTTACATACTACTGTGAGATGGATCGATAAATCTCAGCACAGTATCAGCTTTACAGAGTTTTCAAAGTCATCATCTTGCCTCTTCGTTTCTCACAGTAGGTCTTTAATAGATTTACAGCTTTCCTCCACACCCAAATTTAACCCAGGGCATCAGCTAAAGTTTAAAAGGATCTACAACACCTATGTTTCAACAGGACGTGGACACATCTAAACACTGTATATCCTAGTTTCTCATGGTTGTGATGAACCAACAGCATCTTCACAAGTATTTTATGATAGACAAAATACAAGCATTAACTGGACAAGAAAACAAAACGCATCTATTTGAACAACACTGCTGTCCATCAGAGTATACATTCCCATAAAAACACTGCATTAACACAAAAGTGTTAGTTAAAAGACATAGGGACAGACAAGCTGTATGTTGCCTATTCAGAGAAAGGGAATTAAATAAGCCTTCAAGCATGAGTAATCCATAGACTGGCAAGCAGGCAACTGTCCAAGTACCCAGACTTCAATAACTTCATTCCCTTGTCAGCACTCTGAGAGCCATGAGTGGCTCTTATCCTGAATGCAGCTCTCGGTAGCTGCTGGCAATGCAGGATGTTTCTAGTTCTCAGTGCTGTAGAATGAGACACCTTTGTGGGCAGTTACAACTCAGCAGAGCAGCACCTTCTGCCAAGAGCTAAACACAAGAACAAGCGTGGCTGGGGCTTCTGTTCTATGCCAGCAGGAGCTAAACCAACAATAGATAAGCAGTATTTGTTATGGGCTCTCCCTATTCCAACTTTCAGTGGGAAACCACAGGTGCTTTGCCAGGCTTTTAAGACTAGAAGACAGTACCCGAGAAAGGCAGGTATACCTGATGGCAAGCACCAGTGCAGGCTCACCAAAAGAACTCGGAGCCCACAGTACATCTGCAGCCCTCCAGTAATGCTCTGTAGTTAATGACTGGGATAAGATTTGTTTGCCAGAGGAAACATTTCTGCCTGCCAAATGTTGAGAATTCATGAGACCTGAATGAAGGTGTAGCAAAAAAAAAAAAAAAAAAAGGAGAAAGAAATATTCATTCTTTGAACAAATGTCAATCATTTATCAAGGTACCGCAGAATGGTCACAGGGATTTCAGGACTTCAGGGGACAGTAAGACACAGCAACACTTCCAGGCAGTGCTTGAAAGTGCATGCCAATGTTTTGGAAAAGACTAATGTAACAATGTGGGCAAAAAAGTGTTCAAGCCTCATGTTTAACAACAAACTGTTGCAAGCTTCTCCATGTAAACAGGAACGCATTCTCTTGAGACCAACAAAAAAGAACTTTCAAAGCCTACAACACCGTGAAAAGAAATAAATGCCTCAAACGAAATAGTTCCAACAGCCTATAACAGCAGCTGCTGACTGTGATTCTTGATTGCTGGGCATCTGTGAATTACTTTTAGGAGAACTGAGAAAAGCAACAAGAAAAGGAAATGCACAGACAAAGGCTTAAATTCACTATGCAGAGGTGTGGGCATTCAGTTGTCAAATCTCAGAGACCTACAAATCTGAAGGCCAAAGGCTTTTCTTGGTATAAGGACATCCAAAAAATTCCCAGACCAAAAATTTTACAAAAGTATTCCCACTTGTTAAGCAAGCAGAAATGCTTCCACCCAACGACTATCCAAGCCAGTGACCAAACTACAGTGTTTAAAGAGACACTGCTGGAGAGAGGCTAATCTGCCATTAATTAATGAGCACAAATACAAGTAAATGGGCAAAGTAGGGAGAAGGGTAGAGTAGCATGCCAATAAAAAGCTAAAAATCAAAAGCACCTCTGGTGTAGACAGTTTTCTTTCAGGAAGCTGAGAGTCAGGGTAGAACTCCACAGGGGTGCAGGCCCGAACGTGCATTCTCACTCACAACTGCAACTACAATACACCAACACACCTCACCACATACACACTAAAAACCTTGTATTCACTTAGCACACCTGCAAATAACAAGACAAGCTAAGAAACTTGTTATATTTTATGAAAATTCCCAACATTAGCTAATAATTCTTCCTTTAAAGCAAAGTTATGCATATTTTTCTAAAAGCAGAATTTTTCAATGCTGATAACTTATTTAAAAAAATTAAACACATCAGCAGTTTGTATTGACTATATAACTTCAGAAATACCTATCTCAGGATGTTAAGATTCAGAGCTTGGAATGTCAGAGGTTCACGTGCTAAAGGCGAGCGCAGTTTAGCCTAGAACTCATCATGGACAGAGAAGAAAAAGATTCAGTTCTCAGTATAAGGCATCTAAGAAGAAGCAAATGCACCACTTCAAGTGGAGTGATGACACTTTCAGCTTCTGCTTCTCCTTGGATACTCTCTCCTTTCCGCCACGTTCGCACACATCAGTACCACAAGCCTGCATTTCAAAGTTCAGCCCTGCAAAGTCCATCACAGCAATCAAAGTGTCCAACAAGCATCACTGCTAAAGAATTGTTAGAAATGTACAAACTTCTTGATGCTATCAGACCAGACTCAGATCCTTTAGGGCAGATGCTTTGGTCTCCCACAGCTGCTTTATCTTTGCCTGTGACACATACACAAGAATAGGCTCTTTTCTTTAATTCCTACAGTTCCTTTCAGAAAACTGTCCCTTTCAATCAACCCCTCCTCTCCTCTGACTTTCCAGGCTAAGATGTCTCCCTAATCATCATTCTGCCTACTACCCATTTAAGAACCAGAACAACATCAAGCCCTTCAGCTTGTCTTAAATAATACTTGTAAAAACACTGACAACTTTTACAGAATTAGATAAATAAACACTAATAGTGAAGAACTCGAACTCTGAATGTAGAAATGGAAAAGATCTCAAGCCATCCCGTTTACCCTCCCTACAGCACAGGACTATGGCATACTATCAAGCGCTATATAAAGCAGCCTGCTTTTACCAAGTCTTTTAGCTGAGCTTTTCTCCTTTTCTTCTTTGACCTTAAATACTTAAGTATCTCGTTGCATGTTGCAGCCATAAACATCTGAAAAGCTCTCACCATAAAACTGTGACCATAAAACACAAAATGACAAAAAGAAATGATTTTTCCCACCTCAAATAAATCCAGAGTGCCCAATTCTCTACACAGTGCAGGCCAACGCCAGACACTTTTAGCCTGCCTGTTGAACATAGAACACATTTAGGGAGGTGAAATATGATGTGCCAACAAGTAACAACTTCAAGCTATCCACAGAATCACAGGACTTAATACCAAAAAGATACAGTAGATCTTTATTGAGAGCTGAGCACTGCATTTCCCACGGAAGAGAGTACAGAGGGAATCACAGAATCACAGAATGGTTTGGGTTGGAATGGACCTTAAAGATCATCTGGTTCCAAGCCCCCTGCCATGGGCAGGGACATCTTCCACTAGACCAGGTTGCTCAGAGCTCCATCCAACCTGGCCTTGAACACTGCCAGGAAGGGGGCAGCCACAGCTTCTCTGGGCAACCTGTGCCGGTGTCTCACCACCCCCATGGTGAAGAATTTCTTCCTAATATTTAATCTAAATCTGCCCTCTTTTAGTTTACAGCCATTCCCCCTTGTCCTACCACTACACACCGTTGTAAAAATGGGGCTTATATTTAGCCTGTCATACATCTTTCTCTCTAGCTTTGCCACTGAAGTGCAAGAAGTTTCAATAAATCTTCAGAAGCAGACAGTAACAAAAATGGTGTGAGTGCTGATAGAGATCCTGTTCATTACACAGAGAGTTTCATCCTCATACATAATGAGCTCTCCTGAAAAGTGTAATGTCCTCAATTCCACAAAACCAAGATGAGTGAGGTCCCGTAAAGCTGGTAGTTCCCAGCCAACTCCAGAAAGGGATTGTTAATTTTGAGGTTTGTTTTTTTTTAAGTCAACTGTATGGAAAATGCCCACGAAGACTAAAAAAAAACATGTAATTTGGCAACTGAGACCAAGAAATTCACTGCCAGAATTAAGAACTGTTACTCATCACATGCAGAGCCACTCGGGAAACACATTTAAAAGCCCAGATCTCCTCCATGATATTCTCCCAGTCGCTGACTAGAAAACAGAGAAACTGTCAGCTTATTTCTCAGTGTCTGGACAGCGAAAAGCAAGCAAACTGTCATCTTCCAAGTAACAGGAGGGGCTCAGCTATTCTGGTCACAAAAAGGCTATATACCTACCCAAAACGAACAGAAGTAATGGTGGGGTGGATAGCTGGGTAGAATATTTTAGACTTTTTAAAAATAAGGGAGAAAGGAAGTGTTGGGAATGAAATTCCCGGGCTCATCAACTTCATGGCAAGACTGCCAGCACTCCACCTTCCTGCAGACTGCTCTCTGTTACCACTGAGATACGGATACGGATGCTCACCCCTCAGTCAAGCACACGCATCACCACAGCAGCCGTTGCCGCGTGCCCTTCCGGCTTCTCCCACCGGCGCGTCAAGGAGACGGCACCACACGACTGACAGTGACGGCGGCCTTTCTGCAGCTCGCCTCTGCGGCTCTTCTGCAGTTTTATCTGTTCCAAGCACCTTTCTTTTTGCCTTGGGTCGCAGCCTTTGAGTCCTTTTAGCGCGATGCCTGGGGGGGTGTGTGGGGTGTGCCCCGAAGCATTGCCATAGTGCCAAACCCCAAATGCTGGTATTCAAGCTCTACATAAACCTCAGGTTACTTTTTAGCCACTCACTTGATTTTCTTGAAGGCCTCCCTGCCGCCAGCCACGTACTGCTCGCCGCTCTGCAGCTCGTCCAGCTGCCGGACGCGGTGCCCACCCCGGGGGGTGTAGATGTTACGCACAGCCCCGAAGGGCGCCTGCACCCCTCCCGTCACCTCTTTCAGGAACACCTCGAAGTTGGACACCTTCTTCTCGTTGACGACGATTCGGCGCCCCGGGAAGA